CAGTAGTAATTGGTCCCATTATTCCACTGCACAAACCTGCCCCAGTCTCCTTAAATTGTCAAAGTCACAAACTGGTCCCGGTGATCCATAGGGTACAACTACCACTGTCTCTGACTTCATTTCCTATCAAGGTAGCCTTCCCTTGGTTCATCAGGCTGCAGTTACACCAGTCTCTTTGCATCACAAGGCACCACAGAGACCTCAATTCTACTCCCTGGACTCGAGAAATCCTTGCCAGATATTTGCCTGGCTGATTCTCACTTGCCTTAGCTCTCAATGAATGTATCCTGCATGCCCGTTCATTGTTCACTTCCCTCTCCCTAGCATTCCTGACCTCTCTCACCCTGCGCTATCACTGCTGATGCAGCAGATGCAGGCTGATTGCCTCTGATCAGTCTCAATCACAAGCTTACCTCCTGAACAAGGTGACTCATTGTTCACTAATGTGTCCCAGACACGGACTAGAGTGACTCTCAATGCTTTTAAAGCAAGTGAATAAGCATAGAGGCATAGAACAGGCTATCACAAAATGTTTCTAAAATTGAACTTACAAGGAAAGTATATGGAACACAAATGTTACCCTGATGGCTCTTAAATCAGTTAATAACAGGAAACTACTAGATTTGAAATGTGATTGAAGATGGTTTTTTCCTGTTCTTTTGTGAACTTCAAAGAATCATGGACAGTTATTTCTGTAAATTATCTTCCAAAGTGAAATGTTCAGACTCCCATCTATTTTAAACCATTGAAATTGACTTGTCATAAGCTCCACATTTCTTATTTACTTAAAAGCGAATGGATTACTTTCTCATAAACAGTTCTCAGGAAGAAAGAGTACAAACAGCTGGGCCAGCACGGCACGCTAGAGGCTAAAAGTCCTCGCCCAGGGTCCCATATGGGTGTTGGTTCTAATCCTGGTGTCCCAGCTTCCCATCTAGTTCCCTGCTTATGGCCTGGGAAAGTTGAAAATGACCCAATGCCTTGGGCTTCTGCCCCCACATGGAAGACCTGAAAGAAGTTTCCGGTTTCTCACTTCAGATCGGCTCAGTTCCAGGCGTTGCAGTCACTTGGGGAGTGAACCATTGGACGCCAGATCTTTTCTCTGTCTCTCCTCCTCTCTGACTTTGAAATAAAAATAAATAAATCTAAAAAAAAAAAAAAGGATACAAACAACAGCATCTTTGGCCAGGGAAGTTTCTGAACTTCTTTCCTCTCTGAGGAATCTGGTTCAGCCCTTAGAGTCAAAGTCCAAACTGGGCTGGTGGCATACTACTTCTCTTTACTCATTAGCAGATCCAAAAAAAAATGGATACTGAATAAAGTTTTCTCTTAAGATTTTACATTTTTGAGATAATTTTCTACAATACTGTTATTTCATGCCATAGAGATTATCATAACAAAATTAAATTACCCATAATGATGTTTCAAAGCAAGAACCTTGGGAGAAAAGTATATATTTCTCATATCTAATTCATAGCTAGTCTATACCATATTGAGTTAAATAAGTTGATTCTTACACCGGCTAAAAGTTACTGTCTTTTTAATCTTATCTGTTTGAATGAAAAGTTGAAGTGTTATTCTCCCCAAATGCTTTCCATGTCTGTTTTTCAAAAACAAGAGAAAACAAAAACAAAATCTGCCTGAGAAATATGTGAGCAGAAGGAACATATTCTGTTCCTAAAAAAAAAACTAACCTTTCAAAATTTATCTAACTATTTTCCAACATTCGCCTTGGTGACCTGAAAAGAAATGATCAACTTGAAATTCCAAAAATAACATCTGACTGATGACTAAGGGAATTCTGAAGAACTCTTCTGAGTTGTGACATAAATCACTGGATTCCTAAGAATCCAATGATTTTTGTGCTTTAAAAGCGCCATCCTTGAACTTTTACCATAATATCAAGCTATTGTTACTGTACAATATAATCCAGTCAGGATTCTTCCTCTTATTAGACAACCTGTTGGCATTTATTTTTTATCAGGTAGAGTTGTAGTTGCCTGACAATCCTTTCAGCAACCTCTGGTACTAGCTTGCCATCATAAAAGCGAAACTCACATATTTTAGAGTTAAAATAAATCACAAAAAAAGTATTTCGCGGAATCAGTTCTGAGGTATAAAAGGTAAGGCCACTGTCTGCTATAATAAAGTCCCATAATAACACGTGCGAGTCCTGGTTGCTCTACTCCTTATCCAGTTCCCTGCTGTTACCCTGGGAAAGCAGTGGAAGCTGACCCAAGTCTTTGGCCCATGTAGTTAGACTCAGAAGAATCGCCCAGCTCTGGCTTTAGTCTCACCCAGGCTTGCTGTTGCACCATTTTAATAAGTGAGCCAGTGATTGGAGGATATATCTCTCTGTCTTTCCTTCTCTTACTTAAAAAAAAAAGTAAACTAAGTATTTTTAAGTTAAAAATAAAGTCAATTTAACTGGTTTAAAACAAGAGCATTATGTTGACAGTCATAATAAAAGGAAGAGAAATTTCTGAAACAGATGGAGAGATGACGAACCAATTCCTTCTGTGTTACAGGTTTAAGTGGGAAAGACAGAGGTAAACACGCATGCAGGGGAAGAGACAAGGAAACAGAGAGACAAGGAGGCAGAAAGTCCCTATTAAATTTGCACCAAGGAACATCTTTTGAAGATTGTCACAAAGTCATTGGCATCTCAGCAGCAGCAAACGAATCCAACCAGAAGCTGTCCCAAACGGAGGAGGGTCACTTCAATATCTCCAAACATGGTTAAGCCTGAGTGATTGGAAAAGATCAAAGCTACCTCTAAATTCACAAAGCTAACTTTTAAAGAGATTACAATGAGGGGAAAAAGCTATAGAAAGAAGAGCATACAAAAGTACATCTTGCATAATATCATATGTTTTCTCTTATTTTAAATAGCTAACATACGCAGAGTACTAAAAAATAAATAAAAACCCTGAATGTGTAAGAATGAAATTGACCTTCTATAATTTGATCATCATTTATAATTCTTGCTATATTCCTCAGGAACAGTGGTTTTTCCACTTTTTACATACTGAACACTATATCTAGCAGAATATTAGGCCTATAATTATAAAGTAACAAAAGTGTGTTGTTACAAAATTACAGGAAAAAAAAGAAATGGACAGAGGGAACTATCCTTATATTCTTAGAATTATATCTTTGAAATACATGAAATCTGTTGTCTTTATTTTAGCAAAAAGTGGTTAAGTTGCTATAAATTTTGCATTTTAAACCTTAGAATTTTTATATGTATTATAATTTAAATTTTGATTAATCATTATAAATGCATATTTTAGTAACACATTCACCCAACAAATACATGTTTCTTGTCTTGGCTGTAAGTCTAACAAAACAGAATAATGGCTACAATCCTATACTAACAGTGTGCTAAAAATTGTCAAAGCCATTATTTTTACAATCAAACTAACACTTTAAATTCAAACTTGTAAAACACAAGTCAAGAAAAATTTTTAACAGAAAGAACAGGAATTCAGTCAGAAGAATCTGGTAAGTGAACAAGCCGCCACAAACCTACTGGAGTCAGCTGTGAATCAGATGTTAAACTGGTCTTCAGATGGCAAAGTGTCCCTATTACAGAGGAAAGAACATATTCTGCCAAGCTATGGAGGCTGGGATTCCCATCTGAGGCATCATGTTTGCTGGGCATTGGGCCATGCCATCAAACATCTCTCAGCCTGTCTTCTCAACCATATGAAGGTAGCCCTTCCTGGGGACAGGAAGCATTTAGTTACAAAGAAAACTAGGGGAAAGTGCCTTAATTACTATGAAAGTGCTGGAAAACATGGAAGAAGAAGAGGAGACAGAGGCAGAGGCAGTAGGTAAAACTGTACAAAAACCCAGCAGATGCTTCCTAAAACAGAAACCCAAATGGCACTAAATATGCAAAGATGTTTGTCCTCATTAGTAATCAGTAAAATGCCAACTAAATAACACTACTTCTCAAGATTGTTTGAGAATTAACTAAGCAGATATTTCAAGTGCCTCCTTAAGTCCTAACACACAGCCAGTGTGAAAGCCATGACTCTATCACACCAATGAATGCGAGACCCTCTCTGGGTGCCTGCACTGTAAGGCAAAAGTACCCAAATGTGAAGCAATTCTCCAACATCTAAATACATATGAATGACCTGAGTTTACACTGTTTAACGAATCCACTTACATAAAATTTAGGCTACTCTCCAATGACCATGTAAAAACCATTCCATAAGCAATTGTAAAATATATACGTATTTATTTGAAAGGCAAAACTTTAAAAAGAGAGGGAGAGACAGATAGAGTCTCCAGCTGCTGGTTCCCAATGGCTGCAATGATGGGTGGTCAGAGGGCAGGCTGAGACCAGGAGCCAGGAAATCCATCTGAATCTCCCACATGGGTGGCAGGGGTCCAAGTACTGAGGCCACAGTATGCTGTCTCCTAGGAACATTAGCTGGTGTTGGATTGCCATTGGAGCAGCTAAGACCACAACTCTCACCCATATAGGATGCTAGTTTTACGAGCAGAGGCTTAACGCACAGCACCACAAAGCCAGCTGTCCATATTCAATTTTGATGCACTAACCACACTCCTGACTTCCTTTCTTTCTTTTTACTCCATTTTTTATCCCCTTTACATTCATTTTGCAGCTATCATACATGACGTCGACCAAGCATTTTAGGCTTTTTCTGAAAACAAGTAGGGTATAAACTTTATGAGACAAGCCTCTGAAAGCCTTCGTCTACCACCTAGAAACTCTTTGCATTTCCCTGAATTCTCTGAGCCTGGTGCATCTCTGGGTCACACACAAACACCAAATTCATCATCCCAGTGAGCTGTTATTTAGAAAGTTCAAAACTCAACACCCTGAGAATTGCACTTGTTCTTTAGAAGGTGTCTTGATTTAGCCTGTTCTAAAAAGGTGTCAATAAGGATTGTTTGTGCCTTCCTAGGAGAAATGACTGCCGCATACCTGATCAAGGACCAACAGCTGTGACACGGATACCTACCAGAGGAGCCTCAGAAGAGTAAGGAGGGGGTGGAGTCTCCACAGCGGGTTCAGGATCTTCCTGTTCGCTTTCACTGTAACATTCTACAACAAAAATGGAAATGCCTAATGCTTTAATGCTGTTATCACTTCTTACATAATGCATGAGGAAAGGTTTTCCTCCATCTGGCTATTCCGATTTTAATTTCGTTCAGAAAGTATGTATGTAGTGAACAATCTGGTACAAGCAAATGAATTGCAAAGGGTCAACTCCGAGCATCTAATGTGCTGGGAGAAGGACCAACCATTACTCGGGGAAAACACAGCAATCTCTCCAAGGCGGCGTGAGTCATACACAAAAAGAGCATCAAATCAGTACTGATTAATTTTAATTCTTGGAAGCAATATCAGCCAACACTGGTGGATAATTGAACCACCAACACGCACAAGAAGGAAGGGAGTACCGTGCCCCAGGAGCATGCTGAGCCAAATGTACAGAGAACTGTGCAAGATAAGTTAGAAACCCAAGCAGAAGAGGTCATTGAGATCTTATCACGGACCTTAAACACCAAGAGAAGTTGATGTCTAGTTTCCCACCCCTATCATCTATAAATAGACAACGGTAACATTTCATGAAAGAGAGGGCCTTTCTTGTTCTACCAAGTTCCACTTTTCTAAACTTATGATCTCACGGGTGTGTTATCAAGTTAACGCCTCACTTCCAGTTTCTGAAAGTGTTTTGGAAACAATTTCAGCTCAGAGGTCCTGAAAACTTAAGCCTCTCTCTTTTTAAAGAGCAAATGCTTGATTAACTACACTCCTATTGCTTTGGAATCCTGAAAGCCAAACTGAGCTAAAAAAATACGTCGTGTGCCCCAATCTGACCTTCAGTTTCTTAATACAGTTTTGGGGTAATCAGTCTCAACAAACACCTGCTGGAAATGGCGACCTCTGACAGAGGAAACAGTAGAATGAAAGTTGTCTAATTAGATCGTGACACATTTGTGTCTGTGAGTAAGGCCTCAGTCAGCGGGGTGATAAAGCATTTGCACTGGTGATTGTTGGAGATTATCAGTGAAGCCTACAGCTGCTCCAGCGTGGGGGAAGTGTGAAATCGGAAAATCAGCCGGAGCTGGCATGGAAGGCTCTTTTCCATGTTGGGGTTGTGTGAATGTCTGTCTCTACATATTTTCAGATCGTTTTAAATGTCAAAATATGTTTCATTGGGATCAGACTACATATAGGATTTGACAACTTCTTTTTTTCATCCAGTTTTAATATTCATGCTAAAATCTCAGAAATTTAAATTAAACATACCTTCATCCTTTGTGGTAGACTCTCGATGGATTACAGCTAATCCAAGTTTGCTTAACCACCTACAATTCAAACAGAAAATAAGTTCGGGACAAACAATATTGGCCCCTACCCACTCAACTTCCCTGTAAAACCTGAAGGAAGGTCTTACGCAAGAACTAGCAATGAAACTAGGTCATAAATATGTCCGTTTGAACATATCCAGAAAAATTTTTCTGGCAACAAAATATAGGGTGTCTAGTTTTGTAAGACCCTCCTTAGCACAACCTTCATGAGTGAGATGGCACTATTCCATGAGTGGAAGTGCTTAAGTTGCACTCTGGAACATCTGAACAAATTGATCTTCTAGAACTATTCTTTTGAAAATTTAGCAACTGTAAAATCTTTATCATGAAATCTGGTAACTTCACAACTGGATTTACATTGCTACAATTCTCAAATAGCCTGTCCGTTTTGAGTGCTTTGAAACACAGATAAGAGGTTAGCTTCATCCACTAGTTCAGTTCCCAAATGTCCACATTGACCAGCGTTGGGCCAGTCCAGGCCTCAGGGGCCTGGGGTCAGCCAATCCAGTCCAGTTGGCTATGGGGATCAGGGGTGATCAGGCCAGTCCACAGCAGCCAGGGATGGGCCAGTCAAGAGCCTGAACTCAATGTGGATTTCCCAAGTGGGGGCCAAGGACCTGCGGACCTGGGCCACGCCCTCTATCTGAGGGTGAGCATTAGTAGGAAACCAGAATCTAATGCAAACTCAGGATGTGGGCGCTCCACACAGCATCGTATCTGCTCTGTCACACACCGGACCCTCTGTAATTTTTAATAATCTGAATTTCAGAAAAATAACGATCTGCTAATTAAAAATATTTTCACTCCAATATGAAGGAAAAAACATGAGTAGAACTTGACAGGTATTCCTTAAGTACAAGAATTTAATTCTTTGAAGAATTTTATGTAAAAGTGGCACTGTCTTATCATTTATTGATTTTCCATTTTATTTAAAATAAATTTTAATTAAACATCGATAAGAAAATAAAGCTAGTCTTAAGCAATTTAAAACTTCATAGCAATGCAATTCTTTCCTGTGTAAGAAACACATATTTTTAAAACAGTTTTAAAAGATAAGACATAAGGTGTTTCTCAATTCTTAGCTATATTATTTTGTATTTGAATGTGAACTATTGTTTTAAAGTGTTGAAAATCAGGATAATTTGTTTCCCACTCATTTTCCTGTATGTTTTTAAATACTCTGTATAGTTTATTCTTTTTGGAATATTCAACAGTAGCTAAATCAAAGATGACAAAATAATCATAATTATGTTATACATTTTTACCAATCCATTTTTTATTTTCATCTCTTCCAGTTCTGCCATGCCTAATGAACTATTCAGCAATTTACACTCTTACCAAGACACATACAGTAGACAATTGTACATTTCCAAGTCAACAATTGTCAACGATTTAGCAATCCTTATCCACCCATCAGCCTGCCATGGTTTGCCGCTATCCATCATTTTTTAACAGAAAAGTTCTCTAATGACAGCTTAAGAACAGGTACCAGAACCCAGATCATGGTCTAGGAACTCAATAGTCTTTATCATATCCTGATAGAATAAAAGACAAAAAAAGGAACAGAAAATTGCATACACACACATAATTACAAAATGGCCAATAAACACATATTCTTAGCCTCAATAATATTTTTAGAAATCCACATTTAAACACTAGACTGAAAAATTAAAAATGTTACTGGGGCTAGCATTTGTTGTAGTACAACAGGTTACGCTGCAGCCTGCCTTTCAGGTGTCTCAAAAAGACATTGGTTGAGTCCCAGCTAGTCCATTTCCTACCCAGCTTTCTGCAGATCTGCATGGGAAAACAGTGAAAGGTGACTCGGTGCTCAGGCCCCTGCCACTCAAATGTGAGACCCTGAGGGAGTTCCTGGTTCATGGCCTCAGCCTGACCCAGTCTGGGCCATTGTGGTCAGTTGAGGGGTCACCTGCAGATGAAACATCTTTTTGTCTCTCCCATCCCTCCCTCTCACTCAATAACTTTGGCTTTCAAATAAATAAATATATCTTCAAAATATTAATTCCTGGTCCCGACAGGAAATAGAAAAAACACTTGTTGCATTAAACATGAAAATAAGTATAACCATTTTTGCTAGCTAGTTTCATGCTGTTATAAAAACCTAGATGTCTGTCCCTGTCAACCAGCAACTAAAATTAAAAATAACTGTCCTTTAAAATGTATCTTCATGTGCACAAATACATGTGTACCATGTCAACAGCCAATAGCTTGGAAATGAGAGAATAAAAAACAAAAAAAAAATGTTTAAGTAAATGAATTAGTAAGGTTTGACATTATTGGTTCTACTGAAGCTATTGAAAAGGCTCAGATGGGGGACAGTTTGTAAAGATATAGAAAAATTTTAGCAAAATACTTGTTCACTGAAAATGTTAAATATATAACACTTTACCCAATGGACTTTAAGAACTACATAGTTGTGTATGTGCATGAATTGGTTTCATTGGAAAGTCTCATGAAGGATATGCACTATACTGTTAAAAGCAGTCAGTCCTACAAGATGTTGACTGGAAAATGCAGGACTAAAGTATGGACAGCTTTCTTGGCTCGAGGGCATACTAATCCTCCACCTGCAACACCAGCATTCTATATGGATGCCAGTTCAAGACCTGGTTACTCCCCTTCAAATCCATCTCCCTGCCTATGGCCTAGAAAAACAGACGATGCTGGCCCAGGTCCTTGGACTCCTGCACTCAAGTGGGAGACATGGAAGAAGCTCCAGGTTCCAGATTGGCTTAGTGTGAACCAGAGGATGGGAGATATTTCTCTTTCTTCTCTCTCTCTCTCTCTCTCTCTCTCTCTCTCTCTCTCTCTCTCTCCCCCTCACACACACACACATGAACACACTTTCTCCTTTACTGTGCATCTGCCTCTCACATAAAAATGAAAAAATAATTTTAAAAATATTGCTTGCTACTCTCTTTTTTCAATTTTCTTACAAGAATATATTTCCTGTATTATCTAAGCATTTAAAGGAACATTTAGAAATTGATGTTAAAACTATACACTTAAAATATTTCATTTAAAAATACCAGTTTTTAGCTTTCACCTACTTTCATCATTAATAAGCCAAAAACCTCTGTAAAATGTATCTCAGAGTGAAATGGGCAAAATCCCCCAAAACAAGATGTGTATCAAAAAATGGAATTAAGATGTCTGAAACAAGAGCAATTCTTACACATATATTTTCCACATAGAAAGAACTGGAAAAATGAAAGAATTCTGACAATAATAGAGGTTCCTCTCACCGCTTATTATTATTATTATTACTATTATTTTGGCCAGCATTACTTGGCTGCTGTGAAAACAGTGTCTGCTCAAACTCCTGCTTAAATATTTTCCTTCTAGGACTTACTCTTTTGCTAATCCTTGTTTTTTTAAGCATTGTGACAGCAGGAAAACTTTTATTTGTGGCTAAGTACATGGATGCACAATAGGACTTACGTTTTTAGAAAAGATGATAACAGATGTTTTCTGGGCATTTGTTGTATTATTAACCTGATCTGAATGCCTGTGTGTTGTAGAGGTACACATGTTAACACATAAGTGTACAAAATAAGAGTATTCTTCCTACAAAAAGTCTGAGAGAAGCAGCTAGTACCACCAGACTTTGTTTCAAAACTTTCATTACCATTAATTATTTATCCCTGCAATGCCCCAGGCATGTACCAGGGGTCAGACTGAAATCAAAGATGCAAAGCAGAAGTTTCATCCAGGACTCCCGTGGGGGTGGCAGGGACCAGTCCTATGCCACTTCTGCTGTTTCTAAGGCTTCACACGAAAAGGAAGCTGAAGCCAGCAGCCAGAGGCAAGTGTCAAACCCATCACTCCCTGCCTCCCTGACACAGGGCAATTCAAGGAATTCACAGATGTGTCATTGACTGCTTTGGCAAGCTACAGCAGTAAGAAAGGAAGAACTTCAGATGTTACTGCAAAATATATGTCTAACTTTCATCTGCATAATGGGCAGAACAAGAGAAAAGTCAACTTGACAGCCCACAGAGATCCTGCCACACTGGCTATTAGAAAAAATATCTTCACAATAATAAATTTCAAAAAAGATAATATAATTGTATGAAGTTATGGTATATTCAGGCACATAGACATTGAGCTATTTTTATGTAAGGGACACTGTAGGAAACTTCCAAGTATAAAGATCATTAAAATATTTTAAAAGATGGAGGTCAAGAGACCTTTTATGTCACAGGATGAAGTGGGTGTGTCATACCCACAGCAAATACCCAGGTCTCTCTCTGTGACATTAGAAAACGTTTTATGTTCTCAAGGGAGAACATAACAAAATCTGCAAACAAAGCTTGGGGAGGTGGGGGCAGGGGCAACAGGGGGATCTGTAACTCCGGCTGTGAGGGGAGATCAAATCCAGCTGAGATTTTAAAGATTCGGGGGCTCTCACACTTTCACTTGTTTAAAAATGTTCTTTACTATGTGGCTGGGGCATGCACTAGGTATCAAAACGCTTGGAAGCCATTTACTGTCAGGAATGACACTGGCACTCTTTCCTTCTGAAGAGAGGAGAACTACTTGGAAACCATGTCGCTGGATAGACAGGGAGGAGGCGGTGGGGCTGGAACGCAGCTCTGGATCGGGTATGAAGTGCAGGCAGGGAGGAGACACAGGAGCGTCGGGAGACAGACAGCACTGTTTCATCACCATGGCAAAGCAGAAGGGACCATTTGGGCTTCCCTGACACTCATCATCACAGGACTCCAGGGACCGTCCGCAGCCTTCCACTTCCTGCATGTCATCTGCGTGACAAGGGCTTGGTCACTACCAGCATCCGATGACCAGCACAATCAAACTACAACTGTGTGAACATTTCCAGTCCTCTCCTTTGCTGCATTTGCTCCAACTGTTCCCAAATGCTGCAGAAAACTAAGGGAACATGGTAACATCAACAAAGGCATACAGACACTCTTTGTCAAGGAGCCTTTTGTAGAAGACTAAGTTATCAACTCCCTGCTTTGTTGTGTCTAACATAGTGCTTACATACCTTCTGTAGTAAAAGTCCACTCTGTCCTGGCCAGACCAGGTGTGTGCTGAGCAGGTGAGTTTAGGGAACAGATGAGAACACCTCTAGTCAAAGGATATACTATAGGAAGTGTGTGTGTGTGTGTGTGTGTGTGTGTGTGTGTGTTTGGCAAAAGACAATGGGTTTCTTTTTAAACTGCCAGAGCAAGACACCAAAGAAAAATTATCTAGGGCAGACAGATAGGAAAATCGTCATGTATAAATAAAATAGATTAACCCATAAGTTTATGGCTGCATGAGTTTTGCCTTCACTATGAATATTGCGCAACATCTGCTTTAATGGAACAAGAGTGGGTACTCCGCAAGCATTTTAACTGTGACGTGGTGATAATAATAGAAGCTCGTGGAAGTGGGCTTATGTTAAAAAGATGGCCTTCTGATGCTTTGGGGAGCACCCAGCTTCGGCCTTATCCAAACAACCTGGAGAGGATGGAATACGACACGCAAACCTCGATAAGGTTCGCTGATTCAAACACAGCAAACAAATAATTAACGGGATGTAAATATTAAATGGTCTCTCAACAAGGACAATTTCACGAAATATTCAGGATGAGATGCAAAGAGATGATAAGCACACAGCACGTGTGAAGTACCACAGAGAACTTCTGCATGGACGGTTCTGAAAGCTACATGATCAGGTGCAAAACAGCGTTTTTCATTGCGATACTGCTTCTACCACTGTCTCATGACTTCTCTCTACTCTGCTCAACTTAAAGGAACCGTGTAACATCTTCCTGCAGCAACTACCTTGAGTCACATCACCCTCTAAAGCGGTGTCAACTACTGGTCAAGGAAATAAGAAGACTTCAGCTGCTAAATATTTTACTCATTCAAATAAAAGAAACAACAATTGATAAGAACAAATGTTCATAATATCGACACCGGGCTAAAGTAAAGCTATTCCCCCAAAGAATTAAATGTACCGATTTCATCTACTTACATATTCATTTCCTGCAAATTCTCAGCTGCAAAGTAGAAGGTCTTGATCTGGGGATGGCTGACTCTAAAAGCACTTAAAAGGAAAAAACACCAGCACGAGAGACATCAGTATTGAATCTGAAAAAGGTGAGTCAAATATCAACTCTTCAAATTCATTTCCTCTCTTTATAAATCTATAAAACAATGAATTTAGTCACTATTGTGATTTCCTATGTGGAGCTCAGGGTCAGTTTATCCTGTCAGAACATCCAAAGCAGGACTGAGCTAAATCCAGTCAATACATTTCATTGAAAACAGAGAAATATCACTTTATTTTCACTTATCAACTGCATTAATTTAAAATTCAGAATGGTTGAAGTGTCACTACAGAAAACTGAACTCAGCTCCTTCACACAAGTATTCAAGCTCCACTCACTATAGGAATTTTGTTTGTATCAGTGTATTTAAAAAGGAAACTTCTACACTTTGACAACAGATCAAAAACTTTAACCAAGGCACCCATACGAGACAGATTATAGCTTAAAGAAAAACTATAAAGCATTAAAGTTAACAAATGACTCGTTCTTATACTCTACCATTTAGAACAAAAGCCCTAAAGTAGAAGCCAAATTTTGTAAACATCTGATTCTAAACCACAAGAATTAATACACCCGTACATCTCGGCACATTCAACCACCTCAGAGGGACATAGACTAAAAGCTGGTTCCAATTTGTTAGTTTTCTTGAGGAGAATAATCAGTTGCTGCCACTAGTAACCAAAATCAGAAGGGAAATAGTCCTTCCTATTAAGATTGGAAAAAGTGTCAAAAGTAGAAAGAATAAGAAAACTGTGAAAGAAGATCCCTACGCAAAGCCCAGTTGGATGCTCTCCTGCTGGGAGACTGGGTACCTGGGTCCAGAACTAGCTCCCTAGGGAATATGGGCAGCTCACACTCTGGGCTCTTTCCTTGTCAGCAGTACAAAAACCATGAACTTGGATCCTGCTAGTTTTCAAACTATTATACTGAAATTATTCCTGGATATAACCCCCAGTGCTTCAGAGTTTGAAAAAGTAAATACAATGGAGTTATTAGCAATCCCATGAACTAAGAAAGAGAAATGGTCCTTGAAGTCAATTCAGAAACTCTGGTGAGTCCTATTTACCTGCCCTCTATACACAGTCAAACCCTGGACATCTGACCTCGCTGCTAGTCTTGGAAGAACGCAAGACTTTCCCTCTCACACCATTCCATGCCTGTGTTTCGTGGGATTTCAAAGCCCATCTATTTCACGAAACAAAATATTAGAAAATGAGAGGCTAAGTGTTCCTGTGAGTGCTTTGGTCCATTCTGCTTTGAATTCTCAGCATTCAGATGCTCCTGTGCCCCCTGCCAGGTCAGCATTGGAAAAGGACAATGCCCAGGCCCAGATCTCTGAGAGGGTTGAGAGGCAACTTACTGCTTTTTCTTGCATTCAGATGCTCTTTCCATGGTGAAATCAGGCAGATTTACAAATCCATCTGCTTTCTCTGCCTGAAACAAACATATTCCACAACAGGAAGAAATGCATCAATACGAGGAATTACTTTACATGGTCATAAACAAGAATTAGAGGTGGTACATACAAAACCATAGAGAATCAAAAGCTATCTCCCATGACCTAACCCAGATAATTTATCAGAGAAACTAATAATGTCTTCATAATTCATCTCAAACCTTCATGAGCAGTAACAAGACACACATTAAGGATGGTTAACACACAACAGACATAGGAACTTCTCCCAGGCACAGCAGTAAGGAACTGAAATGAAAATGGAGCAGCCAGAACATAAATCAGAAGTCACATGGAATGCTGTCATCAAGGCGACAGGTTTACCCACTGCACTACACCACTGACCCGTTAAGAATTTCTTAATCTATATTTTATAGACAAATCTTACTTCAGCCATAAAGTAGCTAGACAGTTTCTCACAAACAACACTACAATCTCCTGTTATCTACACGATAAATAATGCAGGTGTCATTGGGAGATGAGTACAAAAGGTTTTTGAAGATGTACTGTAAATTTTAAAAAGCTAGATAGCTGTTAAATTATTGTTATGATTAGTGTGGAACTCTGAAGCTTTTTTTTGAAGGTTTTTTTTTACATTTCATTATTATTATCATTTTAATATACAGTTCCATATTCCCTTTTCCCCTCCCCAATTCCCCCCCTCCGACCTAGTTCCTCTATATCATTACTAACATATAGTTCTTCATACTCAGTCATATGTCCATCATGGCGGGCATGGACAATGGCAGAGAGTCCAGAATCCTATTGTCAAGATAGAGTAAACAGTTTCACTGTAAGTCCATCTTTGTCTGGAAGCAGAAATGCATACCACACTGCATCCTCACATTTGGATACGTTAGTCTCCATTTCGCAGCTACTGTACATTCCCTTAAATGAAAAGTCATGATACAAAATCAACAATAGAAAGAAAAATAGAAATTTACAATGCCATGAACTTAAATGACATGTTACTAGATATGACAGTCTCCATTACACAGCTACTATACATCCGCATAAATGAAGAGCCACAAAGCAAAATCAACATCAGGGAGAAAAAAGAAATTAACAATACCAACAAGTTAAATAACATGCTATTAAATGACTAACGTGTAGCTGAAGAAATGAAAATCAAGAACCTTCTTGAGGAAAATGATGCCACTGCATGATCTATGAGTCATTGAATGATTTAATCAGAAGAAAGTGTTTTGAAGAAATGAAACCAACAGAAAACAACAAAACCCATGTGATATAGTTTCTGCTGATCTTCGTTGGAGTGTGTCTCCTCCAGACAATAAGCAGATGGGTATTGTTTTTTAATCCAGTCTACTAATCTATGATGTTTGATTGAGCTTAAGCCATTTACATTCAGGGTTAATATATATAGGTGGTACTTTGGTCCTGTCATTTTCGCAATGGGATGTTCATTGATCTAGTCTTCTGTTGTCATTTTACTGGGATGTTCTTCTTTGGTAGGTGCTATTCCTCTTCTCTGTCAAGAGAACATCTTGAAGTATCATTTGTAGGGCAGGTTTGGAAGAGGCAAATTCTTTTTAACTTTTCCTTACTGTGGAAGGATTCTATTTCATTTTCAAAGACAAAAGAAAGCTTTGCTGGATATGTTATCCCAGGTCGACAATTTTTTGCTTTTAGAATCTGGAATATGTCACTCCATTCTCTTCTGGCCTGTAGAGTTTCCTGTGAGAGATCTCCTGTGAGTTTAATTCGCATTCCTTTATATGTCATTTGATTTTTTCACGTACACATTTAAGGATCTTTTCCTTGTGTTCAATTGAAGAGAGCTTGATTATCATGTGTCATGGTGAAGATCGCTTTTGATCAAGCCTGTTGGGAGTTCTGTGCCCCTCCTGGATCTTGTTTCCCAATTCTTTCTCTAGATTAGGGAAATTTTCCTTGATTATTTCATTACTTACATTTGCACACTCAGCTTCTCTTTCTGTATCTTTTGGCACCCCCATAACTCTTATATTTGGCCTCTTAGTAGTGTCTTTCAGTTCTTGAATACTTTTTTCAGCCTGATCCAGCTCTGCTTCCAGCTTTTTGTTTCCCCCTGGTGACAGGAACTATCTTCCAATTCTGAGATTCTTTCTTCTGCCTCCTTCATTCTACTTTAGAGACTCTCCATTGTACTTTTTATTTGCTCTACTGTGTTCTTAATTTCTGATATACCAGCCTCGATTTGCTTTATTGCTGCCATTGCTTGTATAAAATATTCCTTAAATTCTTTGAATTCTTGTATGTGCTTCTTATTGTTGACTAGAAGCTTTAAAATGAGTTCTCTGAATTCTGAGTCCCCCATTTTCTCGATGTCTTCTTCAGTGAACTCTGAGGTTGGCATAGGGTTTTGCTCCTTTGCAGGGGAGTTTTCAGTAATATTCATTGTGCCTTTGTCTCTTCTTTTGCTCTTGATCATTGTACTTCTGGTTATCAGAGTCTTCTCCTTGGGGCAGGTTTCTAAGCTGTGTCACCCACAGGTCTACAATGTGATTTACTTTTTGCAGTTGGTACACAACATTTTGCTTGCAGCCAATTGTGCCACAACCTCCAGCGAGTTCCAGGTCTGGGTTTTTATGTTAGATTTCCATTGTGATCTCCACAGCACCAGCTCCTGGCTCACTACGCTCCACCTCCTGTGATACCGTGTTGAGGCTGCACTGTTGTCTCTGCAACCTTTCTCCCACTTCCACTTGAAGCAGGTCCCAGGATTAGAGAGACACCAGGTGTCCTATATAATTAGGTTGTTGGTGGTACTGATCTTGCTAGAACCTGTTGGACGTTAGGTCTCAGTGCCACACGGACCTATTTTGACTGGTACGATGCCACATTTGGTATTATTTTCCTACGGGACCAGTGCAATCCATGGACCTCAGCGAGTTCTCTCAAGCTCAGCACATGCTCAGTTCACTGTTGTCCGCTGCAGTCCCAAAGCTATTGCCACAGTGCACAAAATGGTGCCTGACATGCCACCAATACAGTTCTTGATCTGCTGGCCATCAGATCTACGGGCTACTCAGACCTGTCTGGGTGGAACCTGTAGAATGCCACGTCGTTTCAGTTCACTGAGTCAGACATGAGCTCACTCCCAGCTCAGCGTATGCTCAGTCCTTTCCCTTGCCCTTGCCTCCTTATGCAAAATGGCGCCCAATTCAGCTCTAGGGGGCTGACTGGGCTCTAAAATCCACCCTGTTCTCGCACTGTCCGTCTGGGATCTGCTGCTCTGTCTCTGCTCCTGGTGAAATTAAACAGACCAGCAGGATGGACAGTTCTTTGTCTGGGTTCACCTCCCAAGCTCCCAGTGAAAGTCTCTTCCCACCTGGTTGCTGGTGGAGTTTCAGCTGCTGGTGGTGTTCAGATCACTGTTAGCTGAATGCCGCTGGAGTATCAATCACTGCAACACCACACTGCTGTGCCCACTGCTACCTGTGTCTGTCAGTCTCCAGGTACCCCTCTGCTGTTGTTCTGTCCTTTCCTATTTCCTGAAATATGTCCTCTCTGCTTCTTCTTGATTAATTGTTTTTCTATCCGTTTAAACGTGTCCTTACCCTATTCTGCCATCTTGATTCTCCAGAACTCTGAAACTCATACAACAGCCCACTCCATTCCTCTCCCACCTTGCCTTCACTCACAATAGCGATGACTGCCACCATATTTGCCTCTAACTATCCGTTGCTTCTCATTTCTGTTTTTCTCATATCAGTCTTCTCATTTCTGTTCCTCTTTTAAATATTTTTGTATTATTGTTATTTTCCATGATTCAGTTTTGTGGTATAGGGAATTCCCTCCCACCTCCTTTTCTTCTCTCCACATTTTCCACACACACTATTTTGCCTCATATTATTGCAATACTGCTACTACTCTGCCTACAGTAAAAGTCACAAGTGTAACATTCTGTTATTTAAGTGTACCATGGTATTATAGGTACAGGCAATAGTAGAAATTCTAGTATGGGATTGTCAAGGTTTATTTAATAGTTAGTGTCGTATTCCATGGAGTAGATATACCACAGTTTTTTGTTTATCCACTCCTCTTTCGACAGATCTTTGGGCTGTTTGCATGACTTTGTGTTGTGGAGTGTGCTGCTGTAATAAAGGGATGCAGGTTCCTTTCTGACACAGATTTCACTTCATTTAGATATATTCTCAGGAGTGGGTCAGCTGTGTCATATGACAGGTCAGTTTGCAGTTGTCTGAGCACTCTGCATAGACTTACACAGTGGCTGTATTTGTTTACATTCCCACTATTCCTAAAATGGAAATGCCCTGTCTGAATGTTCTGTCTGAAGACCCCCTCTCCTTTCATTACAATGCTCTCTACAGGAAGTATACCCACTGCGTGGCTTCACCTGTCATCATTATCCACAGATATCCAAATCTATACTTCAAACTGAGATCCAACCCTGGAGCTTCTCTCCCAGGCCTCCCACTATCCAACATACCTATTCCCATCAGCACTTCATGGATTCCCAAGAATGCTACATCCAAAACCAAAGTTCTTATCTTATCCAGTAACACAGCTGCTCCTCTTTCTCCTGTGTTCTCTACAATAATGAACTGCACCATTTCCTAACTAGTTGCCAAAAATGGCAGTCTTGAGACATCTCTTATCCTTCCATTCTTTTATCAACACCCATTCAAGTCAACTAAAGGCAGTATCACTTAATGTATACAAGATTCCAATCCATTTGTAGCCTACCACTTCCTTCTGGTCATCATTAACTTCTTGAAAAACTGCAAAAAAAAAATCCCAAATGTTCACTTTCTCCATAGTTCCCTGCTTTCATTCAAGGTAATGTCCACACTACAGTCACCGCACAGTTTACATCATGAACATTTCTCATGTCACTTCTCCAATTAAAGCTCTGCAGGGCTCCCAATTGTTTTGCTTAAAGTCTAAAGGATTTAGAAATATATAAAAGCCCTTTGTAACCAAACTCGATTAATTCAGTTTTATCTTCTCAAATCTC